ATGCCCCCATAATGCTCTAAGCACATCTGTTCCCTGCAATAAATAGTGCCTCTTTCTATTATGCGCACTCAATCTTTAATTTTTTTCTCATTGCTCGAACATATAGATATGTCTAACCCCAAATCTACATTTATAACCAGGGTGCGGCTGGGAACTAAAAGTTAGAGGAGTCGTCATTGCACTTGGAAATGAAAATTCCTATTTAGGCTATGTCGTATATCGTGTCACATAATGTCATCAAGACATCGAAACCAATTTCATGAAATTGATCAAATTGTTGGAATCTTCTTTTCATCCGACACTTTTTGGATGAGTTTGGTTTGCAGTTTAGGTACTGTTCGTTTGGATTTTTAGATGCAATATGATGTTGCAGCATCTGGACGCAGTATCCAGATGATATTCGTTTGTGTTAAAAAATAGATCTGATTTCTATCTCTATAATCCTTGAGAATCTAAGCTTTAAACAATCAAAGTTAAGAACACATAGAAATCTCTCTCCAAAGATATTCACTATAAAAGATTGATTACAAGTCAAGCACTCACAACCTTAATTGTGCTTGTTTCTTTTAGAGGATTAACTGCTCAAGACAAAGGGGAGACAACCAATAGCCTTAATCCTCACGTTCACCTCTCTCTGATCAAGTTCTTTTTCTTTATATAGAAACTCAATCTGTTATATTTCCTTTTCCTTCTTATAATAACATTATGTAAAAGGCCAAATAGTCAACTCCTTTTGGGTTTTGGGGAAGACTAACTCCTAATGGGCTTCGGAAATAACACATGGCCCATTAAAGATTACTGAGGTCCATGATTCTTTTGGGTTTGTCCGAATCAGTACACAGTTTGTGTTTTTGGGCTCTACGTCCAGAATTTGTATCTGGAAGCAGTTATACTTGTTTGGTGTTTTTGTATTTGAAATAGTACGTTTGTTTAGTAGTTTTTTTACCTTTTTTCCCTTGACTCTCATCTTTTAAATTCTAGAGCAAATTGTTTCCGCATAACCATGACTAGATTCGTTAGTGTTAGTTCTGTAAACCTTTTGCCAACTAGAGAACTTTGATTTAATTATACTAGTGAATGTTTAAAATATTTTGGAACAAATTTGATTTTTGTCTGAAATTTTCCGATCATAGAGAAAAAMAAAAAAAAAATCATTTCCATCTTGCTCGGTGATTGGTTACTCTAATTAAAGGTCTAAATGATATCGGCTGAATTTTGTTGAATTGTGGAATCTGACTAAATTTTTAGTGATTTCTTGCAGAATCTGACGGAATAACATCAAACTTAAATGGTAACAGCGGAATGTTACTGAATCTGGCTGAATTTTTGAAAATATAGTTAATGAAATAAACTTATTAAAAAATGAGTTAAATAATTTTGTTATCAATAAAATTAGTTAATAAACTATGTAAATAATATATTTAGTAATTTTATTAAACATAATTATCATATAAAACCATAAACAACCAAAATTAATGACTAACTGTTTTTATGAAAATTAAAATATTAGTTTACTATTTTTGTACTAAAAACTATGATAATAAAAATTAAATTCGGATAGTTTTAATAATAATAATAATAATTTAATTTATCTATGAAATGAGATATATAAACTACATGTTATAAATATAGAAAATTTACACAAAACAATAATGTATAGTTTGAGTTGTCTTACAAAAAAAAGAACTTAATACACAAATATTATTTTCTTCAAGATTTTACGCAAGATTCTGAATTGCGTTTTTTAGAAATAAAATTCTTTAGTTTTTATCAAAATATATTACTCGTTTGATACTGGTTTTAAATATTCTAATTATCCATATTCTACTAGTATTATCCGATCCAATTTTTAAAGATTTTATATGTTATTTTCAGTATCTTAATTATTTTTACCCAACTCCCATATTTGTTATTATATGATTGTTCATTCAAAATAATTAAATATATCTAGGGT